GTACCTTCTTTGTTGCTAAGGGAGGAATTGATGCTTCTTCTTCAAGTTTCCATATCTCAAATGGGTCTCCCCTGTCTTTAACTATCGACTATTCCTCCCCTCCGTAATATCCCCTTAGCTTTATGGGAGGTAGTTATAACATTCTTAGTTAATGTCACATGAAGTAGATATAGGTGCAATGTTATGAGGATAGAAGCTACTATTTCTTGACCTTGTTTGTCTTGGATGTGTACTATGATTTCATTGTTGATTTGTGGGGCCCGATCTATCCTTTGACCTTATTGCCGCTTAGAAACTAAGGCAACGCCCCTAGTAGAAAACTATCTTAGGGAAGTTCATATAAATGAAACCAAAGCTTCGGGTGAAGTTGTTGGTAGTGCAAAGCTTTGATCATACAGCGAAGCTGCCTGGTGAAGTTTGCTAAGTGTTACTTCTAAGTGAAGCTGCAGGAGCAAGGTTGCGAACAAGGTCAGAAGGTCAGCCAAGAAGTAGAGCTTTAGACGAAGTTAAGAAATATAGTTAAAGACTTTGAAGCGAAGCGAAACTACGAAGCTCGTCGCTTAAGCTTATCCTTCGGTGTACACCTTGCTTCCTGTTCCATGATTAGAAGCGATCCTAAACTATGAACTTAAAATTGAACTTGTAACTTCGGGACCAAGTCAGCCATGTATGATCATGGACGAACTTATGTACAACCATAGACGATCATGGATGAACTTATTTACGACCATAGACGATCATGGACGAACTTATGTCATTGATGTCACGGCGCCCATATTCATAAGAATTTAGGTCTTTATTATAAATAGATATCCACAAATGATTGTAAACCCATTGGAGAAAGTGTGTGTTTTAGCTATTATCCATAAAATATATCTCTAGTTTAAATGCGGACGCACTTGATTATTCTGATCAAGTATGAACCACGTTAAACCCTCGTGCTCTTGTTGTTCCTTTAATTAGTATCTTCATTATTGCGTGCGTGTTTATTGAACTCCTTAATTCTAATAATCTCATTTCCTTTGTTGAAAACTTGAAATCATCGAAGTTGGGTGATGGGACCCAAATATTTTAATAAAAACACCTGATCTCATCCATATGTGGTCTGAGAGTCATATGTACTAAGATTGTTCGCTAGACATGGTCCAACATTTATTATAATAAATTAAGCATAAAGAATTTAAAAAGAAAATCAAATAACTTTAAAATTGTCATTTTATGTCTTGCAAAGACAAAACCACAACAAAATAATATTAACAGAGAGGGACTATACAAGTGAAAAATCCGAATCGAAACAAAATGTGCATATTATATATACGAAACCACATCAGCGATTTTAAGTTTACTCTAGCTTCAAATATAACTTGTGGGTAGTAAGTGGTAGTATGCATGGTTTTTGTAGTTTAGTTTACTAGTTCTAAATTTTAACCACATGAATGTTTTGTAGTTTACTATTATATGAGGATCATTAAAAAGTTATTTGTTCTAAATTTAAATGTAACATTCTTTAGCTTTTATGACCCGCTTTCGAGAAAAAAAAATATCAATTATAGCGTGTGACTCCCACTAGTTACCTACAAAAATCGACAAGAAATCACATAGTGAATAAATCTATTGGTTATGTAAATAAGATTTACCATCCTTACTTCTTTGCGAGACACGCGACTATTTCACAAATAAACATTTTGCGTGGTCCAAGTCGCTTCCATTGATTAGCTATGTTAGGTATCTACTGTTTCATTTCAGGTGCAAATGTGACTTTATCCACAATTATTTATTTAATATTTATTTATTTATTTTATCATAACTCTTCGATTCATGAACATGAAAGCAAAATTCTTACCAAAATGAGGGCTTTGATGACATCTCTATGAAAGATAAAGCCGATTGCATTATCTCTTTGTACATCCAATAAGATGTCAACTAGATCATGATCTTCACTACATAGAGTATCCATCCCTCTTCTCTTATTTACATGTTCTTCAACAACACATTCAAGAAAATCATCAAACTCTTTAGCGACTTTATGTGCTTTCTCCTCTAAACCGCTCAATCGGTCTATCCAAGCCAACCATGGAATATAACTTCCAACGTCGAAACCACCAAGCAGATGCAGAAACCTATCCATTATGTCTTCGAACTTTAACCCACCATATGTCCTCCCTAGACTCACCCTGCAGACTATGTTATTCGTAAGCCAAAAAAACAACTCATTAAGATCAACTAAAGAGCCACAACTTTTTTTGATCTTGTCAACCATAAAAGCCACTTCCTTTTCCCTCATTATTTAGAAGATGGACTACAGCGATGCTTTTCAATTGCCTCCAATACTCTCCATAAGGAGAAAATGCTATGTCGTTGGAGCCATACAAAAGTATGTCGGGAATTCTTAACTTGGGTCGGCTTGCAAATTTCAAATCATGGGTTTTCAAGATCCCTTTGGCTGCTTCAGGTGAGGAGGCAACAAGCATGGGCACGTTGCCAAGGTGTATCAACATGAGTGGACCATGTTTTTTGGACAGGGCCTCAAGTGAGCGGTGGGGGCTCAACCCTAGTTGGTGGAGGTTTCCGATGATCGGAAGCCTTGGTGGAGATGGTGGTAAATTTCTATTGGTCTTGAAAAGAGTATAAATCCATTTCAAACCGGTGAGAATTATTAAAACGATGCATGAATAGTAGAAAAGAGGGGAATTCTGTAAGAAATAAAACATTTCGCTTACCAAGATATTTATGATGCCCAATAATATGGAATGGTTTATATAAAAAGCTGAAATCTCAGCACACAACAATTCTTTATTATTATTTCTTGGAGCTAAGCGGTTCGTTTGTGTGGTATGCATTATATTACAAAAGATATACTGTATTACAATAGTGTATGGATAAGGACTGGTTTTTTTTTTTTTCGTAGATGACTTGCATCGAAACTGAGTTGTTGTTCAAGAAACATTTTGATAGTTCTGGCCGGTTTACATGTTAAAAGAAACATCATTAAATTTATTTTTGTTTAAAAAATACCGTTACACTTGTCGGAAAAATTTAATATAAATTTTTATATTTTTATTAACTTTGGACATACATAAATGTATACATATGCTGTATATATAATTAAATCTAAGTGAGTTTGTGTTTTCCTCCGTGAGAACTTCGAAACGATATATTATATGTCTAAAATGGAGTATATGTGAATGGCATATCGATACTCAAAGACGGGTATTTGAGAATAAAATTAGCAAAAGAGAGGAATGTGGGAATAGTCCCACATTGGTAGAAAGACCAAACTCAACTACGTTTATAACTTTGAATGCATGAAAGGCTTACAAGCTTGTTTCTATGATTTTACTTCAAGACCTACCTGCGCGTAGAACTTGCACATGGGCACGAATGCAGCTTCGTAAACTCGGACTCACACAACCCTCGTTTTTGCTAAACTTTTTGGTCCCTAATTTGAATTTTGTAACTAATGCATTAATTGTGTATTTATTGGCATTTATACACCTTCTTCCGGCAATTCTTTCAGGCAAGTGGATATATACGGCAGTTTGATAACTTATTTTATTTCCTTATTTTTATTAGTTTATTTTAGATTTTTAGATCTTTTTATCATTATTGCATTGTATTTTATTTATTTTTCTTTAGTATGGATCGTACCGGGTGTTTTTTATGTTGCATGAGGTATTTTGCAGGGTTTTGGAGCTTATCGCGATTATGGATTAGAGCGAAGACGGACTTGTGGGCTCTCGAGGCGCTATTGGGCTAGACGGATCCATAAAAGAAGACTTGGGCCTTAAAGAGTTGAAGACTTGGATATTTTGGACTTGTGAAGATGGGTCATAAACTTCTATTTTTGGGCTTGGAGCATCCACTTTTGTAGCTAAATGATGATTGGTAGGTTTAAATCACATGGATATGGAGGGGACCAAATGAATCTTTGGTAGTGGAAGGGTGGACTGGAGGGATGAAGGACCAATAGCATTACAGCAACATTTGCGCGGGTGGAATTTTCATCGCGCGGGTACCCGCGCAACTGCCCAGTTTGGGCATTTTGATCATTTGGCACACCATAACCTTGGGGGATCAGATCTAGCAGCCATACTCTCGATTTTACACCATTGGAGAGCTGAAGAAGGCGATTTTGAAGCTCAAGACTCATTTCTTTTCATCTTTCCAAGTTATTGGTAGTTTCTTTATGCAATTAGACTTTTGTGATTGTTGTTCTATTGTCATGAGTGGCTAAACTCTCTATTTTGGTAGAGCTTGGCTAAAACCTCTGAATGTTTGTGGGTTTTTGAAGGATTTATGCTTATTTATCGTTTATCTTATGTCTATGATTCTAGTTCATATTTCCTATGCTTGTTTAGTGCTTTGATCATGAGCTTGGTACTTTACTAAGCAATTGTTGGTTTATTTCTTTGGTTTGGCATTGAATCATTGAATTTACTTAGAACAAGGGCTTTATGATGGTAGAAATCATCTCTAGCTTATGAATCATAACTCCTTTATGGATGTGTAAGCATTGACATCCTCTAGGAATTGAGGATTTCTTCATTCTTAAGGCTAATCAACTTCTTGGGTTCAATTGCTTCAATTGGATCTTTGATTTTGATTAAGAAGGTGTGTTGTGGGCTTCCCCAACCTCCATACTACCTATGAGAAATCTTGGCATATCATGCTTCATGATTGCTATAACCAATTTGGGGTGAATGATAAGCTTCATGTTAAATCCTAATGATAAACACACAAATGTTCATTGTGTTGAATTGCCTTGGTTTACCAATTCTCTCCAATATTTGAGCATCTCACTTTCTTGCTTAATTGCAAGTTTTTAGTTATTCAAGTCTTTTAGTTTTCAAGCAATCATAACACCCCCCCCCCCCTTTTAGTTTAATTGTAGTTAGTTAGTTTATTTTCACTAGTTCTATTGGATTGCATTGGTGATTGAATACAACCATTTCCCCAAGGATCGATACCCCTTTTATCATTATATTACGTTTTATTTGCAAACAAAGGGTGTAATTTGCTTGGTGGACTTGACATCCCACCAAGTTTTGGCGTCGTTGCCGGGGAAATTGGTTATTGTTATTTGATTGTTTATGCCTAGGTCTACAAGAACCGGTGAACTACTCTACAATCCGGAAATTAAAAAAGAAGCAAAAAGGTTGAAAAAGTTAGCCAAACAAGCAAAGCAACAACAACTAGTTCAAGCTTCTTCCTCTTCTCCACTAATCAACTTAGAAGACCAAGTTCACACTTCAAGTGCTACCGACACCGAGCCGAGTTCTCCAATTGTTGGTCATTCCTTTGAAGACATTCCGTTTGAAAACTACATAGCCATGAATCACACTCCACCTCACAATCCCAACCCAAACCCAAACAATCAAGATGCCAATACACCACCCCAACAACCAAGACAACAACAAGAACCTCTCATTGATATGCCACCTTGGAATCAAGCCCCTCCTCAAAACCAACCCAACTATCAACCACCACAACCACAAAACCAACACTTCCACCAAAACAACCAACCTCAAAACAATGTTTTTCAAGTTCAACAAGTACATTACCCAAATCAACCCAATTACCAACACCCTCCAATGTACCAAAACCTGATGTACCCACCACAACAACCTCCCTACAACCAATACCCTAATTACCAACCTTATCCACCACCAATCTACAATCCCCAACAATACCCATACCCACCTTACCAACAACATCCTAATTACTTGCAACAAAATCCCAATTACCCCAATCCACCCAATCCCCCTCAAGAGTTGACACTTCGACAAATGATGGAAACAGATGTTACTCATGCACCTCTTGCTATTGTTTATCCCGCAAACCGCCGAGGAATTGAATTGAATTCAAGTTTCATACATCAACTTACCAAGTTCCATTTTGAAGTCCTTTCATATGATATGTGTTAGCATGTTGCCCGAAAATGTGACATTGGATGATTTCAAGCTAACCGCCTTCCCGCTCACCTTGGAAGATAAAGCTAGAGAGTGGTTATTTAACTTACCACCGGGATCTATTCACACATGGGAAGAGTTACTCAAAGCCTTCAATAGCAAGTTCTATCCCACCTCCCGAATTTCAAGCCAAAGAAGTGACATTTTGGGGATTCGTCAAGGAGAGCATGAGACTTTTCATGATTTTTGGGAACGATTCAACAACTTGTGTACAAGTTGTCCTCAACACAACATTCCCGAACAACTACTTCTTCAACAATTTTATGAGGGTATGAATGAAAAGGATCGAAGGATGATCGATGCCTCAAGTGGTGGTGACATCTTCAACAAGACACCTCAAGAGATACGCTTGCTTTTTGGAACCATTTCTCAAAATCAAAGGAACTTTAGGACTCGAAATGACATGAAGAGAAATTCTCCACAAGTAGTTGGTGAAGTTAGCAACACTCAACACTTAGAATCAAAGCTCTTGGATTTGACTAATGTGCTAAGTCAAATGGTGGTGGGAAGTGGTCAACAATTGATGGTGTGTGGTATTTATGCCATGACGGGCCATTATACGGATAAGTGTCCCACTCTTGGAAGTGAACCGGAGGATGTGAATGAAATGGGAGCATATCAAGGTCAACCAAGACCCATAGGATTTCAAAACAACTTCAATCCAAATTGGCGGAATAACCCAAACAACCCATACCCACCAAAGCAAAATTCACCAAACATTTTGATGAGACCCCAATTTTCTCAATACCCATCACAAAAACCTCCATATCCACAAACATCTCATCCCCCTCCAAATTACCAACAACCTCATCAACAAGGCCAATCAAGTGGTAACCATCAAATGAGTCTTCAAGAACTCGTTACTTCTTTTGCTCAAAGCCAAACCCAATTTCAACAAGTGACCAAGAATACTTTCTCCAACATTCAAGCACAAATTGGAGACTTGGCCACCGCTCTCAACAAGATGGAACAAAGGGGTAAACTTCCATCTCAAACCGAGAAGAACCCCAATGTGAGTGCAATAACTTTGAGAAGTGGCAAAACACTTGGAGAAAGCAACCCTAAAAGAGTTTCAAGAGAAGAAGAATATGAGGTTATTGTTGTTGAGCCTCCGAAGGTTGAAGCTACCCCAAAGGACCCGATTATGCCAACCAATGATCAACCCGACTCTTCCAACAAGAACATCAAGCCATTGGTCATACCACCACCTTTCCCCTCCTGGTTAGCTTCCTCAAAGAAACTAGAGGAAGAAAAAGAATTTCTTGAGACTTTCCGCAAAGTTCAAATCAACATTTCACTATTGGATGTCATAAAGCAAATTCCGCGCTATGCCAAATTTCTTAAGGATTTGTGCACCAATAAGAGGAAGTTTAAGGCGAATGAAAAGATTCAAGTCAATGCAAATGTGTCCGCGGTTATCCAAAAGAAGCTTCCACCCAAATGCAAGGATCCGGGAATGTTTGCTATCCCTTGTACCATTGGTGATTTGCATGTTGAAAGTGCCATGTTAGACCTTGGAGCCTCAATCAATGTCATGCCATATTCGGTTTTTCAATCTCTCAATGTTGGTCCTTTGGAAGAAACCGGAGTCATTATTCAATTAGCAGACAAGTCAAGTGTATTTCCAAGAGGTGTGTTGGAGGATGTACTAGTTCAAGTCAATCAACTAGTATTTCCCACGGACTTCTATGTCATTGACCTTGAAGAGAAGACTCATTCCAAGTCATCTATGATCCTTCTTGGAAGACCTTTCATGAATACCGCTCACACGATAATCGATGTCCATAATGGGAAGATCACCATGGAGTTCGATGGAGAGACCATTCACTTCAACATCTTTGAAGCAATGAGGTATCCTAGCAATATTTCTCCATTGTATCAGGTTGATGTGATTGAGTCAATCACCCAATAATTATTCGAGTTATCAAATGGGGATCTTTTGAAGATGGTGCTCAACATGAGTCTTGATGGTGAAAGTTTGAAGAAAACATTGGATATGTATACATTGGACTCCGAAGTTGAAGAGATTGTAAAGACTTTAGAAGTTAACAACTCAACAAAAAAGGATGTTTCTCAAGTTTCCTTATCTCGTTCTCCAAACAAGATGCCACCTTCCATAATCCACCCACCCACACTTGAATTGAAAGTCTTACCTAGCCATTTGAAATATGCTTATCTAGGTCAAGATGAAAATCTACCGGTGATCATCTCTTCTCAATTGAAAGACTTTGAAGAAAACCAATTGATTGAAGTCTTGAAAGATCATAAAGAGGCCATGGGGTGGACAATAGCGGACATTAAGGGAATAAGCCCTAATGTATGCACTCACAAGATACTCATGGAAGATGATTGTAAGCCTAAGAGGGAAGCTCAAAGATGATTAAATCCTCCCATGATGGAAGTTGTCAAGAAAGAGATAATCAAACTCCTTGATGCGGATATGATTTACCCGATTTCCGACTCCAAGTGGGTTAGTTCGGTTCTAGTGGTTCCTAAGAAAACGGGAATCACGGTTTTTGAGAATAACAAAGGAATAATGGTACCCACTCGAGTTCAAAATGGATGGAGGGTATGCATTGATTATCGAAAGTTGAATTCAAGCACACGAAAAGATCACTTTCCTCTTCCTTTCATCGACCAAATGCTCGAGAGATTGGCGGGCAAGTCACATTATTGTTGTCTCGATGGATACTCGGGTTTTCATCAAATACCCGTTCCCCCGAAGATCAAGACAAGACAACCTTCACATGCCCTTTTGGCACGTTTGCCTACAAGCGAATGCCCTTTGGATTATGCAATGCCCCCGCCACATTCCAAAGATGCATGGTGAGCATCTTTTCAGATTATGTAGAAAATATAATTGAAGTGTTCATGGACGACTTCACAGTGTATGGCAATTCGTTTAATGAATGCTTGGATAATCTTGAGAAGATTTTGAAAAGATGCATTGAGAAGAAGTTGGTGTTAAACTTTGAGAAGTGTCACTTTATGGTCAATAAAGGCATCATCTTGGGACACATCGTCTCCAAAAAGGGAATTGAAGTTGATAAAGCAAAAATTGATGTCATCCAAACCCTTCCTTACCCAACATGTGTTAGATAGGTGAGATCTTTCTTGGGCCATGCGGGATTTTATAGAAGATTTATCAAAGATTTCTCGAAGATTACGCGTCCGATGTGCCTCCTTCTCCAAAAGGATGTTGATTTTGACTTCAATATTGCATGCCAAGAAGCCTTTGACAAACTCAAAGACTTACTCACCTCCGCTCCAATAATCCGTATGTATACCGTATGTAGTGATAATTACAGTTATGAATGTCATTATAAAGTAGTGATGTAAAATGTAAACTGTTTCTGTCTTAGTGCATATGTTTAGTAGTGAAAGTTTCTATACTTGATATTTTTTAGAAAAATCCCAAACTATACCGATTATAGCTTGCATGTATAGTGAATAGCGTGTCTGAAAAACTATGCAATTTTAGTGAAAACGTCCCTTATGCTCAACGCAATACAAAAGGGATTAAAGTATGAGGTATTGCGTAAGCTTGAAAACATTTATGTTTAGCTTGTATTCCCCCCCTGAAAACATTAAAAACATGGAAAATGTAGGGGTATGAACTCACTGTTGTTGTGTGAAAACGTTGACTGAAATGAAGATCCTCGAGTTGTTGCACGTGACACTTAACGAAATCCTATTATCAAATAAATACATATATGTATCTAAATTAGTGATTTCGTTAGATAAAGTGTTAGAGGAACACTTGTGCTCGGTTGAGGAATGTTACCGGGACTGATCGAATCGAAGGAAATGGATTTTCAGCCAAAAGCACCACTTAAGAGGTGTTTACGGTCGTAAACAAGGGTTTACGGTCGACTGGTAGTTTACGGTCTCTGAAGGCTTGATGAGTTTACGGCCGTAAACTCAAGAACAGAGTTTACGGTCTTTGAAGGCTTGGACCGTAAACTCAAGAACAGGGTTTACGGTCTTTGAAGATGGACCGTAAACTCAAGAATGATGGGGCTGATTTCGAAGAGACAAGCGTTTCCAGGCGTTCCGAAGTGGCTCCAAACGGTGTTTCTCGATGTTTCCCGAAGTTTGAAGGTGTTTTTAGGTGTTTACGGTCAAGGTTCTTAGAGGGAGAAGGAGAGAGTTTTTGGCCAGAAATGTTCAAATGAAGGTGGAGGTCTCAAATTTATAGTGACTTTGTGGTCGGTGGTGGGAGTCCACCTTTTGCGGACCGTAAACAGGTATAAGGCCGTAAACTTGTTTACGGTCGTAACCTCACTTAAACCGGAAATGATTGATTTTTAGAGATATTCGGGTTTCCGCGCGATTTTTGGTTCCGAATCGTAAATAATTTTAATTATATATAACTAGATTATTTTCTAAACCAAGAAGTTAACGGAGAAGTTAATGATTTCGAAATTTTATTAACGGAAAACGCGTAACGGAAACAGGCAAAGTTTCGGGTTGTCACATGGGGCCCGATCTATCCTTTGACCTTATTGCCGCTTAGAAACTAAGGCATCGCCCCAAGAAGAAAACTATCTTAGAGAAGTTCATATAAATGAAACCAAAGCTTCGGGCGAAGTTGCTGGTAGTGCAAAGCTTTGATCATACAACACAGCCGCTTGGTGAAGTTCGCTAAGTGTTACTTCTAAATGAAGCTGCAGGAACAAGGTTGCGAACAAGGTCAGAAGCAGCCAAGAAGTAGAGCTTTAGACGAAGTTAAGAAATATAATTGAAGACTTTGAAGCGAAGCGAAACTACGAAGCTCGTCGCTTAAGCTTATCCTTCGGTGTACACCTTGCTTTCTATTCGATGATTAGAATCAATCCTAAACTCTGAACTTCAAATTGAACTTGTAACTTGGGGACCAAGTCAGCCATGTACGATCATAGACCAACTTATGTCCGACCATAGACGATCATGGACAAACTCATGTCATTGATGCCACGACCCATGAGCCCATATCCATAAGAAATTAGGTCTTTATTATAAATAGATATCCACAAATGATTGTAACCCCATGAGAGAAAGTGTCTTTTAGCTATTATCAATAAAATATATGTCTAGTTTAAATGTGGACACACTTGATTATTCTCATCAAGTGAATCATGTTAAACCCTCGTGTTCTTGTTGTTCCTTTAGTTAGTATCTTCGTTATCACGTGTGTGTTTATCGAACTCCTTAATTCTAATAATCTCATTCTCTTTGTTGAAATCATCGGAGATTGGTGATGGGACCCAAATATTTTAATAAAAACACCTGATCTCATTCATATGTGGAATCGTCTAAGAGCCATATGTACTAATTTTGTTCGCTAGACATGGTCCAACATTTATTATAATAAATTAAGCATAAAGAATTAAAAAAGTCAAATAACGTTAAAATTGTCATTTTATGTCTCGCAGAGACAAAACCACAACAAAATAATATTAATAGAGAGGGACTATACAAGTGAAAAATCTGAATCGAAACAAAATGTGCATATTATATATACGAAACCACATCAGCGATTTTAAGTTTACTCTAGTTTCAAATATAACTTGTGGGTAGTACATGGTAGTATGCATGTTTTTTGTAGTTTAGTTTACTAGTTCCAAAATTTAACCACATGAGTGGTTTTGTAGTTTACTATTATGAGGATCATTATTCATTAAAAAAGTTATTTGTTCTAAATTTAAATCTAACATTCTTTAGCTTTGATGACCCGCCTTCGAGAAAAGAAAAAAAAATCAATTATAGCGTGTGAGTACCACTAGTTACCTACAAAAATCGACAAAAAATCACATAGTGAATAAATTTATTTATTAATATTGGTTATGTAAATAAGATTTGCCATCCTTACTTTTTTTTCGATACACACGACTATTTCACATATAAACATTTTGCGTGGTCCGAGTCGCTTCCATTGATTTGCTATATTAGGTGTCTACTGTTTCATTTGTTTCATTTCAGGTGCAAATGTGACTTTATCCACAATTATTTATTTATTTATTTATTTTATCATAACTCTTCGATTCAAGAACATGAAAGCAAAATTCTTACCAAAATGAGGGCTTTGATGACATCTCTATGAAAGGTAAAGCCGATTGCATTATCTCTTTGTACATCCAATAAGATGTCAACTAGATCATGATCTTCACTACATAGAGTATCCACCCCTCTTCTCTTATCTACATGTTCTTCAACAACACGTTCAAGAAAATCATCAAACTCTTTAACGACTTTATGTGCTTTCTTCTCTAAACCACTCAATCGGTCTATCCAAGCCAACCATGGAATATAACTTCCAACGTGGAAACCACCAAGCAGATGCAGAAACCTGTCCATTATGTCTTCGAACTTTAACCCACCATATGTCCTCCCTAGATTCACCCTGCTGACTATGTTATTCGTAAGACAAAAAATCAACTCATTAAGATCAACTAAAGAGCCACAACTTTTTTTGATCTCGTCAACCATAAAAGCCACCTCCTTTTCCCTCACTTGTTGAAATGACTGGACTCGTGTATTATTTAGAAGATGGACTACAGCGATGCTTTTCAATTGCCTCCAATTCTCTCCATAAGGAGAAAATACTATGTCGTTGGAGCCATACGAAAGAATGTTTGGGATTCTTAACTTTGGTCGGCTAGCAAATTTTATATCATGGGTTTTCAAGAGTTCTTTGGCTGCTTCAGGTGAGGAAGCAACAAGCATGAGCACATTGCCAAGGTGCATCAACATGAGTGGACCATGTTTTTGGGACAAGGCCTGAAGAGAGCGGTGGGGGCTCAAACCTAGTTGGTGGAGATTTCCGATGATAGGAAGCCTTGGTGGACATGGTGGTAAATTTTTATTGGTCTTGAAAAGAGATAAAATCCATTTGAAACTGATGAAAATTACTAAAACGATGCATGAATAGTAGAAAAAGGGGTAGTTCTTTATGAAAGAAAACATTTCCTTTGGTTATTGCCTTATTGGTACCAAAACATTTATGATGCCCAATGATGGAATGTTTATATAAAAAGTTGAATTCTCAGCACACACAATGATTGTCATATTTCTTGGAGCTACTCACCTAAAGGGCGTTTCTGGGGTAGCTATTATTATAAAGGAAAATATGGTTTCTCAAGTTATGATCATTAATTTTTATTTTTATTTTTTTTCATCGTCGTCAATGATGGTCGTCAACGATGGTCTATATGGTTTGAACCCTTTTAGTATCGAGGAAAATGACTTGGAGGTAATTACTTTTCGTTTTGTTTACGTTTAGGCAATTTTAATTTTTTTTATATATATTTGACCATTTAACTTGTTAAATGATTAAATGTGTATAAAAAAAGAAAGTTGTCTAAATATGAATAATTTTTTTTTTAAAAAATTTCTTAAAACTATTTATAATTTCTTACAATATTTTTATGATATTTTGTTCTAAATGTTTTTCTAATACAATGTTTTAAAATTTGTTTATACTTTTTTTTAAACTTTTTTTATACTTTCATATGATTATAATACAAGTGCTTTTAAACCAAATATTTTATAAATGTTTTAAATTTTTCTTACAAGTTTTTAACTTTTTTTTATTTTACATTTTCATACAGTTTTTTTTTTATAATTTTCATACAGTTATTTCTAAACTTTCTTTTACAACATTTTTAATGTTTCATAGATTTTATATGACAATTTAATATTTTTTTTATAACATTTTAAAATACTTTCGTTAAACACTAGATTAAAACGTTGAACGTTGTATTAAAAAAAATTAAAAATTTATAAACTTCTAATCATTAACCTAATAAGTTAGTGGGACTATTGTTGAAGTTTTGTCTTAAAATAACGTACTAACGACCCTAAGATTAGAAATATCAAAACATATAAATATCAAGGACCAAAACTATAAATTAATCTCTTTTCCCCGTTTAGCCTCTTATCGGACCTGTTCTCTGCTACCGTTCTTGACATCATTTTTTCCGGCGGCATCTCCTCTTCCGGCTGCCTCACCTCCTCCCCTGTACCACAACGCCACCACCATCCCCACCCCCACTGCCTCTTTTTCCCCTTACCTGAATACAACTCACGAAAACACACCTCAAAATCATCCGAACATATCTTTTCTACTTCCTATCTTAAAGCTCCAAATCTTTGAGGTTTGAACATCCAAAAAAAGAAGTTATCACTTTTGAACCGAAAATAATCAAGATTTGAACCCATCTGAAAGCTCAAAATCCAAAAAATGTGTTATTATTTTGTTTTTGGTTAAATAACTTTTTTTTTCTTGATGAACAGATGATGAGAGGTATGCCGTATGCCATTCGAAGTTGCAGATTTTCAACCTTTGACAGGATCTAATAATAAGTTTAACGACGGTAGTTTTGGTAGCAACAACAGTAATGAACCCATCTCTGTTCTCGACACACGGCGGAGTCTAAGCCCTTCCACCTCAACCTTATCCTCCTCCTTCGGCAGCGGTGGTAATGGCTGCACAACCACCGCTGGTCCATGATCACTAGGTTTCGGTCCAAATTTTCGAATAAACTTATAGCTGATAACACAGCTCCGATTTCGATCCAAATCTTTAATCACTTTCCTGAAATCATCTCTGCTGCCACCGCCATGAACCCGAATTCCCATCGATTTCACCGACCATAGCATTCATGGTGTCCCAGAAATTTAAGTTCCGGAAAAGGGTATTGAAGAACAAGTTCCAGTCTTTTGACACCTTTTGGCCCAAACTTAGCCAACTGTGTGGCCGGATTTGAGGGATGGTAATGAGTGAGATGAGATGAAGGGGAAAATAGAGACGAGGAAAGAGATGCCTATGATATTCAAACCGGTGTAGTTGACGAAATATATGATGATTGTAGAAAGCAAGATTGCTAGAGTTCGAGGTAAGCCGGAGGAGAAGATCGGGATACTCCATATGAACGGGAAGATCAGGAATTCGAGAATGACGATCCAGTCTCCTACACCACCTCCACGAAATCGCAACCCAGAATCGGAGGGGTAGGAATTTGGGCGGCGTTGTGTTACAGTGGAGGTCCGATGATAGACTAAAAAGGGAAGAAGAGATTAATTTACAGTTTTAGTCCCTCATATTTATATATTTTAATATTTCTAGTCTAAGGTTGGGTCAGTAAGCTATTTTAATGGTCTTTGAGTTGTTAAATAACGATTTTGTTATATGATTAGACTTAACAGAAAAAAAAAAATAGGGATAATGGCTTGATAGGTTAAGATACTTTTTAAAATGTACACATTTAGTCTTTATTTTTTTTTTTTGTAAAATAAACCCTTATACTTTATTTTTTGTAATAATGCAATCATTGTGACCGTCTATACCCGGTATACCGGTCATATACGAATTTTCTTTTAGGGAAAATGACTTGATAGGGTAAGATACTTTTTGAATTGTACACATTTAGTCCTTATTATTTTTTTTTGTAAAATAAACCCTTATACTTTATTAATATGTACACATTAGGTCCTTTTCACCGAATTCTACAGGTTTTGCTGATGTGGAAGCATAAGTGGCACTAAATAGCAATTAATTAGCTTAGTCACCGGAGGTGGGTCATCCTCCAGCAACAAGAAAAGGGCGGCGACCCTTCTCTTTCTCGTCTCTCTTCCTTTTGGTCGAACATCAACAGCCAAACACCCTTTACATGTTGTGTTTCTCCGATCTGTCTCTCTTTGCCTCCATCTTTGAGATATGTTGCCAGAAAAAGAAGAAAGAATCGACGAGGGGGCTACCAGAGCAGCTCCTCGCCGCCAACTACCGTCTCTACTTCCTCCTGCCTCCCCCTTCGACCTTGTTGTTTTTGTCATCATTCCTCCTTGCTACCAGTGATGTGTAGGAACACACAAAGGAGTCGCCGGAGATCGGGGTTCTTCCTCTTTTTCATGATGAATAAAAGTTGGAAAAATCTCGTTGTGGATATGTGGATGTCACCTGGGTATTTCATTTCAACAAAATAAAAGAAAGGGAAAATGACTTGATATGGTAAGATACTTTTTGAAATGTACACATTTAGTCCTTATTCTTTTTTTTTTTGTAAAATTAACCCTTTCACGTCAGCAAAGCCTGTAGAATCCGGTGAAAATGACCTAATGTGTACATATTAATAAAGTATAAGGGTTTATTTTACAAAAAAAAAACAATAAGGACTAAATGTGTACATTTCAAAAATTATCTTACCCTATAAGTCATTATCCCAAAAAAATAAACAGCGCTACCCTTGATGAAAAAAAAAAAAAAAAATTAAGACCAAACTTATTTTCTTTGGAAGAGACTATTTTTTAAGATTTTTCAATTTTAAATAAAATAGCAAAACATATATGAAATGATGGAACTAACCTATGGTAGGTAGGATAGCAATTACTAGCCCTCATTTTCTTCACATTCGTATTAAAAGTTTTGAATTTTTTTTTCCTATGTACACGGTGCCTAACCGAGAATTAAAAGGTGCAACTACTACTTTACTAAGCTTTAATAAAATGAAGTCCAAATTTCTAAAACAAACAACCCACTAAATGAATTAATCTACATAGAATTAAAAGATGCAACTACTACTCTATCAAGCTTAATAAAATAAAGTCAAAAGTTCTAAATCAAACAGCCCACTAATAAAATAAAGTCAAAAATTATAAATCAAACTACCTACTAATTGAATTAATCCACATAGAATTAAAAGATGCAACTAGTACTCTATTAAGCTTAATAAAATAGTCAAAAGTTATAAATCAAACAACCCACTAAATTAATTAATCCACCCAGAATTAAAAGGTGCAACTACTACTCTATTAAGTCTAATAAATGAAGTCCAAAGTTCTAAATCAAACAGCCTTAAATGAATTAATTAGCCCACAAAATGAAAAGATGATGAACGGTGGAATAGAAAGACGAACAGTGGAATTAATTAACTCATCACAACATCGACTCAACAAAGGTAAACGAGGGAATTAATTAGCTCACAACATCGACTCAACAAAGGGAAACGAATTAACACTCAACAACGATCCACAAAGGGAAAAAACAGATTTTACTTTTTGCTGAAAGAACGATGACTTGATTTGTGGTGTTGAAAAAGAAGTATTTATGGATGTTAAAATCGAACTCGTGACGACGGGTTTTCGAAAAATAAATAAAAGAATATGTGAACTTTAAAATATAAGACTTGTGAATTAGCTTGTTATATGTAATTTAAAAAAAAATTACCTTTATTATCTTTTATCGGAATTTTTTTGTGCTACTTTTACAAAAGTTTCTTGTTCCACTAAAGACAATACGGCAGCCTCTGATATCTTGACTTAACTTATTGTGACAAGTCTCTTTAACTCCATAAGTGTATCGGGTGTAAGTAGTAGGGGTGAGCGTGGTCCACAGGTTGATATATATATATATATATATATATATATATATATATATATATATATATATATATATATATAGAACGATTCACTTGAGATTAAAAAAAAATAAAGATTTTGAGATTCAACCTCAGCCACATATTTCTCATTTGCCGTTCTAACGTTGTAGCATACCGACAGCAGCATGGTATGCATAATCATAAATGATTATACATATATGTCTGTTCACAGACAGAGTAAGCATATATGATTATGACAGTTGGTGTCAAAAAAGATGGTGGACGGAGGTGACGAATGTATAAGTGACGGAGGTGACAGCGGTGGGGTCGACTGGTGTTAGAGGTGGTAGTAGTGGTTGTGGTGGTAGCAGTTGTGGTGGTGGGGATGGTGGCAGAGGAGAAAGGAACGTACGACGCTATATAATCATTTATGATTATAACATGTCTACCACATTGGCAGTCGGAGGATTAGAGCGGCAGATATAAAATATGTGGCTGAGTTTGAATCTCAAGATCTCTATTTTATTTTTAATTCCAACGGAACCTATATATATATATATATATATATATATATATATATATATATATATATATATATATATATATATATATATATATATAGGTTTAGGTTCTATGGAAAACAAAAAACCCTAAAAATAAAAAAAAATGCATAAAAAATACTTAGAGATAACAAAACTTTTTTTTGAAAAAATCGCACTTTTTAACACAAAATCGCTAAAAATGTTTTTTGAAAAAAAAAGTGTTTTTAAAAAAATGATTTTTTTTTTGTTAAGCGAAATTTTATAAAAAAAGCTGCGCTTTTTTGATGTGTAAAATAAAAAAAAAAGTTTTGTGATGTCTAGGTATTTTTTTTATGCATTTTTATGATTTTTAGGGTTTTTTTGTTTTCCATATAACCATTCCCTCTATATATATATATATATATATATATATATATATATATATATATATAGGCTTAGGTTATTCTATTTACACTAATTATTGTGTTATTGTATGCATAAATGTGGGCCAATCATTTTACTTAATTTAAGAAAGTGATTAATATATATTATTAAATTAAATATAATTAAAAAATACCATCTAATTTCATTCTAAGGGTATTTTAGACAAATGGGATAAATTTAAAAAAGGAAAATTCCATATTTTTGGGGATAATAAACTCTCTTGATTTTAAAATTCTAATTTTTTTAATTATTTTAATTTAATTATAACGTAATTTTTATAATTAAACCCGATTTTATTCTGTTAGAATCAGATTCTCTACAAATTTTAGGATACATGTTTCTATTAGAATGATATTCTATGCGAATGCCAACACCGACTAATAAACACATTTTTGGATACAACTTCAAATTTTTCATTACATTCTTAAAAAACTAAAAACTTTATATAATAGTCTATGACAATGAAATACTCACTAATAACAAACAAAATTATGTATATTATTCGACCTTAATATTCTAGCAGAATATATTATTACATATACTCCTATCATTCTATTGTAGATTATTCTATCAGAAGAATAGCTCTTTCCTTGATCATCCATGAAATTATACATTTAACGAAAATAACTGTCATGAATCAAATCATGTAAGAATAATATTCCCTGAGAATGCTTAGAATCACTTTCAAATTTGCGGTCCGTTCTTCAAGCATCAACTTCTGTCAAAACAAAACCAAAATGTAGTTTAGATTCCAACAGAATTGGAATTCATGATTCCATTTCAGAAACATTGACGAGCTCTTGAGAAAACAAAGCAAAAATCTTTGCAACGCTTTTCATTTGTAGAAGAAAAATTGACACAACATTAACATGCAACATACAAAAAAATTATGAGTTTATTACCATCCATACTTGGCTTGTGTTTCTGCTTTTGTGAGAAAGCCTTTTGAGCGCCTTTCTGCCAATTCCATCTCTTTAGATCTCATATCAAAGTATAAAGATCCAATCTAATGTTTCCTCTTGTGCAGCTTCGTTGGCTTCCCCTTCCCTGAAGAAGCCGGCTGAAAATAATCCAGAATATGAGACTATAAGTACAATTCTAGAACATCAAAAACATTTTCAATCTTACAAATTGAAACAGGGTTCTTACTTCTTACTATGAGACCAAGAAAATATAAGCAATTACCTGATATGAGGGCCCAAAAGCTATTCCAGTTGATTTGACTTGGTCTTCTCGTGGTCGATTCTTCATCAGTTCATCCTCACTAACCTCAATTATCTCATGCGGAATCTCATTCCTACCTCTCTTGCCAGGAACCCTCGTCATATTTTGTATAGCGGCTGCTTCTGAAATTTCTGGCTGCATATTTCTGTCAATCCAAATTTCTGAAAACCCTAATTCCCAAAATTCAATTGAATCCCCACCTGTCGTCGGACCCTCTTCTGGTCTCACCCCTCGCTGTTAGAATCAGAAGAGAGTAAGCGGAGAGTTGCTAATCAACCCTTGCTGCCCTCGCTTCACCCTCCTCTCCATCCGATTCAGTCGATTAAACCACCTAAAACACCCCCTTGGAGATCAGCGATCTTCTTTGCCTTTCCCATTCGTGTGGCTGCTGATCGGGCCAAAAAAAAGAAAGAAAACGCCGGTGATAGTCGGTTTTGTAGTCCGTGATTTAAATTGGAGAGATTAGGTCAATACCATGATTATAGGGATTAATTTTGGAAGTTACTAAACAAATTACTAAATTACCCTTATTTATTTATTTAATTATTTAATTTTTTATTTAATTTTGATTGGCCCACATTTATGCATACGATAACACAATACTTAGTTTAAACAAATGAACCTAGCTTTATATATATATATATATATATATATATATATATATATATATATATATATATATATATATATATATATAGTCCTAAAAGAAAGACCCAAAAATTTCATTTTAAAATTAACAAACGGTAATCCAAAACATTGTCATACAACCAAGATTGATCAAAGTGTATTACTACATCATAAAATATTAGAGTAAATCACAAAATGCGGAATGAGGTGGAGTGTGCTCTGTAATCATCACGAGTTCTTCCCTTTTGAACCAGAAGTACCTGAAACATAAACTGAAAACCGTAAGCACAAAGTTTAGTGAGTTCCCCAAAATACCACATATCATACATAATAAACACATATTGGGCCCCCGCCTGGCATCGAGTCCCAGCCGTCTTGGGCCCCGCTCAGTTTACAAATCTATCAATTATCAGGCCTCGCCTGACATCGGGCCCTGCCCGATACACATATAAACATATAAACATATAATCCTATTAACGCATGCGATAATCACAAAGATAATAGCATACAATACAGTCATCGGGCCTTGCTCGACATCGAGCCCCGCTCGGTATACATACCAACGCATACTCATGCAAGAGTCACGCATACATCTAGCGTCCTAACATAATAAACCATCGTCCCACATTGGTGCCTTCGACCCGCTAAACACGGTGAGGAAACTCACCACAAGCTGCTGAGTCCCACAGATAAATGTGACATCCCAAAATTTAAGACCAAAAATTTCATTTTTGATTAAGTAATTATAAAACCAATAGTCTAAAAACATCCATCATGTCATCCCATATCAAAACCAATATATCAATAATCAAAACATGTCATCATAAAACAACATCAGAGTATAACTCCCAAAGATCTCATGTGCGAATATCATGGTGTGATGCGCTGCGATCATGCCGGCTCATTTCCTTTTGAAGAAGAGGTACATGAAACCAAAACTGAAAACCGTAAGCACGAAGCTTAGTGAGTTCCCCCATCATACTACATACCATACAATAAACATATTGTCAGGCATATCTGGGTGCCCGACCTACCCTGATGAGCATACCTGGGTGCTCAACCTACCCATGTCAGGCATACCGGGGTGCCCGACCTACCCTTGTCAGACATACCGGGGTGTCCGACCTACCCCTGTCAGGCATACAGGGGTGCTCGGCCTACCCCCGTCAGGCATATCTGGGTGCCCGACCTACCCTCCGGTTTATTTCAACCGGTTACGGGGTCTATTTCACCCCTACCACTACCACATAATATCATCTCATAAACATACTGTCAGGCATATCTGAGTGCCCGACTTACCCTCCGGTTTATTTCAACCGGTTACAGGATCTATTTCACCCCTACCACTACCACATAATAACATAGCATACAAGCACATAATCTCTACAGATAGTGACATACCAGACAATTATCACACAAACAATCATCTCTACTATAAACAACTACTAGTGGGTTGGCATTGGTGCCTTCGACCCGCTCATACAGGGAAGGTAACTCACCTCAAATACTGGCAAGTAGCTGAAAAATCCTTGACTCCGGATATCAACCCAACTCAAGCTCCTAAACATAAAATATTTCCTTTAAGTACCCTTTCATACTCATTATCCCTTACGGGTTAACTTTGGTCAAAGTTAAAGTCAAAGTCAAATTCAACGCTCCGAGTTGACTCGACTCGTCGAGTTTGCCCTTCAACTCGCCGAGTTCTCAAGAATCATAAAATCATGAAATCGCGATCCAACTCGTCAAGTTTTCCTCCAACTCACCGAGTTCCCCCTTAACTCACAGAATCGTGAAATCATGATCCAACTCGTCGAGTTTTCCTCCAACTCGTCGAGTTCCCCTTAACTCACAGAATCATAAAAATCACAATCCAACTCGTCGAGTTTTCCTCCAACTCATTGAGTTCTTCCCTTTAACAGAATCGGGACAATTCGACCCAACTCGTCGAGTTCCTCTATGAACTCGTCGAGTTCTTCAGTCAATCAGTCCTTCTTAATGCATTAAGTCACCATTCTTCAAACCAGGGCCCTATCTTCTGGATCTAAGCTGGAAATACGTGTAGAAGGTTAAAGTTTCCAACTTTACCCATTAAGAACCTCTTCCCAAGGCATAAACTCAAACCCTAACCCAAAATGGCTTAGGTTCAACTCCAAAAGCCATCAAAACTTCAAGATAGACCATGGGGTCATAGATCTAGATTCTAGGGACAATTTGGTCACGTAATGCTCCCATCTTTACTTACATGCATGACCTAATCGGGCTTAAAAGACCAAAAAGATGGTCTAGAAGTTGCATGGGACTTCCATAGACATAAAGTTGGCACCTTTATGCCATGAAGTCCCCTCAAGACCCTAGATCTGAAGGTTTTCCAAAATGGGACGTCCAAATCCCAACCATCAACATACTTGGACCAAAACATGAAGCAAAACATCCTAAGACTAGATCTAAGCATATCATGGACAAGGTTGAAGCTTTCTACCTCAGATGAACGAGAAATGAAGCCCAACTTCTGGATCTACTCTCCTCTCACACGTTCTTGCTCCTTCTTCAAACTCACCAAGAATACACAAGATTAGCTCACAATCACTACAAATAGCTTAGGGTTTCGAGATTAGGGTTTTGGGCAGTGGAGGCTGGAGATGAGGCCAACACCTTGGGGTTAAGGTGTTTAAATAGGGTGCAAAACCCCGGAATTAGGGTTTCATTTCAGCCAGCCTACTCGTCGAGTTGAGACCTCTCAACTCGTCGAGTAGGTTTCCAAATTCGCGTCCAATTCATTTATACTCGACGAGTTTGGGGCCTCCAACTCGTCGAGTTTATATATAAAAGTATTTAATTAAAAATTTAATACATACTAGGAACCAGGCGTTATAATTCTCCCCCGCTTATCTCAGACTTCGTCCTCGAAGTCTGCTGCGGCTGGAAACAGCTATGGATAGTGCTCCCTCATTTCATCCTCTGGCTCCCACATCCATTATGAGCCCTTGCGGTGCTGCCACTGCACCTTCAACAACTCTACCCTCTTGTGTTAGACTGTGAGCATAACATCATTCCTATGGTGTACATGCAACCCTAATTGCTTTGATCTAGGTTTTCTAATTTGAACATACAATTATTAATACCAAAGCAATAACCCTACGACTAGCACACATATTTCAAAATTGACATATGATTAGGGTTAAAAAACTTTACCTCACTTGTTATATTGTAATAACAAGAGTTCCTTGACCTTTGAAAGCTTAGTGCCCCAAGTGTTGCACCTCTAATGGAGTCACAAACACCACTAGCAACAAGGAAGAACAAGAGAGAGAGAGAGAGAGAGAGAGAGAGAGAGAGGAGAAGGCTTCAAAAGTCGGCTAGGGTTCCTTCTAAAGGCATAGGCCGATTTTGAGAGCCATTGTGGTTCCTTTTATAGTTAAGGATTACTAGGGTTTTCAACTTGGAAACCCTAATTCCCTTGCTTAGGCCCTAAGCAACATATGGACTCCCATTGGACAAGCCTTGGACGAAATCTTTATGGACTCTCATAGAGATTTCGTCCACCTGATACCAATAAGGTCCATAAGCCCAAACTATAAATATTACCGATTTACATAATCAGTCCCCGTTAATTTAATCAGTCTCTTTTGATCACCAAATTAATTCCAAATTAATTTTTGATCAATACTAATTAAATAATATGATTTCTCAATTAATATATTATTTTTATAATATATTAATAAATCATAATTAATCCTCTTTCTCCATAATCCATCCTATCAGTTGCTATGGTGAAGGCAACCCAAAAGGACCATGCTCATAATCAAATCAAGTACATACCAAAATAGTCATGGGCTTAGACACCTAATCCAACAGTCTCCCACTTGGATAAGTCTAATAACTATTTTGTAAGTACGACTTTAGAACCTGATTAGCAATCGTAGCTTTCAAAAGCCGCTGTCAAACTCTGGTCTTATCATAAACGCGTCCTTTAGATAAGGGATCATATATTCCTCCATTCTAGATATCGTATAGACATGAGACATGGATTATAGTCATTCTCTCTGTCTATGTGTTGTTTCCCGAATTCTGATTTAAGATGACTGACTAATTGAACAAATCAAATCAGCCCTGGCTTGGCCAAGCGCTTTAAGGTGTCATCACTAAATCATCGACGGGCCCACAGATATTGCTTTTAACCCTCTTAGGGTAAAAGGAACGGATAAACTTCGACTCAAATGCTTGCTTGTGCTTACTCATCAAATCACACACAACAATGTGTTTTATAACACCAAGTTACTGGTGCGTTTACATATGTCAATGTGCAACCGACTTGCAAACACTACTAGAAAAACAGTCTTTTACGACGCACAATGTGTGTCGTAAAACGCTCAGACGACGCGCAAATTTGTGTCAAGGAAGGCCCTGTCATAACGAGAGACGACACGCTTTTACGCGTCATCTATTTACGACGCGCATTTACGACGCACATTTACGACGCGCAATTACGACACGCATTTACGATGCGCGTTTACGACACGCAATGCGTGTCAAGGAAGGCCCTGTCATAAAGGAAGATGACACGCATTTGCGTGTTGTAACCTTACGACGCACATTTACGACTCGCATTGTGTATCATTAAAGCCCCTGTCATAAAGAAACGCGACACACATTTTTGCGTGTCATAAAGTTAAATGTTTTAAAAATTATATATTTTGATAGATTTAGTAATTTTCAAATTAAATAACACATTAAAAATCTCATAATACAAAATAAAATACCATAAACAACAAAGATAATTTATTTCACTAATATGTCAAATACAAATAATTATTCCAATAGTGAGTAAATGCAATAAAAAAATGAACTCAAGAGAAGCAGAATTTATATACAGTTGCATTATCTATCTTACTATGTGCCAACAACTCTCTGTGTGTTTGCTTTTGCTTGAGTCTCGTTTCCTCCAAAGCTTCTAGCCATGCCAAAGTATTATATCTTAGGGTTCATGTCCAAATCAAGTAAAACATTTCTAGCTTAAATTCATCAAGTCCTTGGCGTGAAGTCTTAGATAGACGCTTAACTGCATTCTCCAATCCTTCTAGAAGACCCTAGAGATCATTATTGGCCATGTAGCAGGATCAACCTACCAAAATAATACACCAAATTAATCAAAAGCTGAGTTTCAAAGATGACATGGCATCACAAATGACATATAAACCGGAAACTGTATATGACATGAGTTATTCATAAAACAATAAAATTTTATATCTACAACCTTGGCCAGCTGTTGAGTATGGATAATGTCTAAGCATCTCTGGAAAACAGGTTGTGAAAACCATGCAAATCCACTACCCGATGCCTGAAAGACAATGAAACATGTTATTTTTCTAACGGTTATGGTTTTATATATAATATAAACTCTGTAGATATAGTGAAACTGTGTTGTTTATTACTGTGTTTGATATTGAAAGTTAGGTTAAACACAAGAAAAAAAGTTCCTTGCAATTATCAATGTTATTCAAATACAATGTAATTTTCAGTACTAATTATATTGAGTATTCAACATACCATGTCTTAATTAAAATGTTTCATTTGTTGAAATTTCTAGTCAACACACTAACCTTTTATGAACAATCCTTTGTAATGTTTGGTATCTCAAGACTCTTCTATTACTGAGTCCTTGGTAATGAATGCAGAGGAGAAACTGGTGCAACCTGATATTATTAAAGAGCAGGTATTTCTTTGCTATCATTTGATAAATGGATATAGTTGTGCATCACCATTAAAAGAAGGGAAAGGTGTGGTCACTGGAGAATACAATATTATAACTAAATACCAAGATACTCTTCTACTCATACAAACAAACAAACCCAATATTTCTCACTTGTATATTTTGTCAAATAATACAATAACAACTCACCAATATTCTCTCACCCATTCCAATTCCATTCCATTCCCATCACAGTAACATCTTCATTACCGGATTGAAAACTTCTCATTTCCATTATAATAATTTTATCTAAACACCCAAAAATCAACATCTTCACGCATGCAAATCTTTATCTGAACTCCACACACCTAACTTTTGAGGACTACTTTCGTTTACAGTGTTCACTCCGTTTTCCACATTTATCAAAGGATCACTCTCGCTCTCCTTCAAAAATATAAAACAATCAGACAACGAGAAAAATATATGAGGAATGGAATGGAATAAGCAAGGGAATGGAATTGATGATTACCTGAGATAATTATGTTAATGGTTCAATGACTTTTGGTTGAGCATCACGAGTATAGAAATAAGAATAGAGCACCATGCCAACAACAACAATGAGGATTCCAAGAATGTTTCTCCAACTAAATGGATCATGTAATAAAACATATCCAAAATCCAAAACTAGGCATGTTTTAAAATGACCCAATACTTGATAAGTTACAGGAGATGTTTTTCCAATCACCAAGAAAGTACTGAAGTTTACTGATACTGATATCATGCAAGAAAGAACAATAAACCCCTGCAATTTAAATGAGATTGTTAAAATTAGCTACATACTTTCACTTCTTTCTATTGCTGCATTGAAGTTTCACCTTTTTGCTTATTAAGGAAATAAAAGTAGGATGATGTTATAAACAAATCAATGAAAGTATGTTGATGTTTCTTGCATTAAACTTCAAGTGATTAAAAAAAGGGCATTTTTGGTACTAACCAGCACTAGAGGAGTATATTTGAAGGCAAAAACATTCTTATTTGTCAAAAGGGCATCTAAAAATGGGCCCACGATGAACAATGTAAGAGCTAGATAAGGGCAAGATTGGTATAGAAGTTGAGTTGATGAAACCTTGTATTTCTTTTGGATTGTATTTGTCATCTGAGATAGATCTGTTAAGATCCAACATATAGGTCCCACATGACATAACATAGCAAATGTCAATGTGAAAAATCAAAAATACTGTAACTTTTTGTCCTACCCAAAAGACACAAATACCCTTGTGATTCTCACCATTAAAAAAGGCCTAGAAAGCTTGTCAATGGGAAAAAATTGCAATCTCTTGCCTCACCCGAAAAAGGTGGGACAAGGATTTGATTTGGATCTCTCATATGTGAAAAAGACGTAAATACCCTTGTGATTCAAAATATTTAAAGCAAGGATACAATCTGAGCAACACAAGTTGTAAGGACTGCTAGCAGGGATAAAACACTGCCCAACATGTTGAGTTGCAGGTCAGTTACAGTTGCAATACCAACTCCCATGAGAAGAACAGTAAGTGAGAAACGGATCTTCTTGCTGTAAAAAGTGATAAGTCATGAGGGTAAAATTGTCTGAATGGACAAGAAATTTGGCATTTGGGAACACAACATAATTGTCTGTATACATTGCCTAAAAGATAAAAAAAGAGTAAATTTTAGGTAATAGTTGTGAACCTGATTTGTAGATGAACCTGATTTATTGCTATTTAGTTCATGATCAATAAAAATGATCCCAGATTCAACATCAATGAATGTTGCTGGCATATTATTGTGAGTACTCTCTCTGCATTCAAAATATTCTTCAACTTTGATTCCAGATTCAGAAGCAATGAATGATGCTGGCCCATTAAATTGTGTTAAATCACAAAAGAAAGAGTGCAATTTTTGCAAGAAAATACAACTTTTTACAATGGAAAATCATCTTTCTTGCAAAAACACAAAAGAAAGAGTACAATTTTTGCAAGAAAACAAGAAAAGACCACATTTTTTTTCATGCTAAATCATCTTTCTTACAAAAAAACAACAAAAGACACTAAGTTTTTTTTTTTTTTTTTAAATCAAATCTTGAAACTTGAATGTCTGTCATTACCTGAGATTACTAGAAATCGCCATGTAAACACCATATCCCACACTAGTAGCTAAAATAGGTATATTCTCCAGTTCATCATCATCAGATTTCTGAACAACTTTTTTCGCATTTATCAATGTATTTGTCATAACTATCCCCACCTACCCACATTTTTTAAAATCAATAAAAAAATTCCAAATTTTTATTCAAACACTTTATATAAATATATACTTGCAAGTCATAATAGACTAAAATTGACAAAAAGATGAAAGTCAATAGTCAATAGCACTAAATGTTAAATTTAAAAAAAGCCAATGTATTAGGGTGAGCATATAGTGCATATACAGGTAGCAACTCACATTAAACATGTCACATGAGTTGTCTCAAAGATTCATGTTTTTTATAAAACATTGAAATATTATCTTAAAGTTGTTGAGCCTCCTTGTACCCCTGTATCATTCAGATCACAAATAAGGTGGTTATGATGGATTCTTAGTGAACTCAGTCATATTTTCAACAAACCCTTAACCAAATCCTTCATTACATATATTTTAGTTTCCTTTTTCTCTATGTTGTTCACCTATATCTCCAATACCCCTTTCACCCTAATGTGTCGAACTCAATGGAACATTTTTAGCTAAAAAGTAAGAAAAATGTAATGACAACTCATACCATTTTGCAAGCAAGGCACATACATGAAGACAGGGGCCTTGATCCGATAATCAAATATTGCAAAACTCAGTGAAGCAAATAATCAAACACTTAGTGGGCAATAAAAATCCAACACATTAAAATAACAAAATAAAAAAAAACTTGCACCAGACATGGAAATAAAAAATAAAAAGAAGCTTGAACACAATAAAAAAGGAAGTAAGTAGTTGGGGATGATGATGAACAGTTAGTGATGATGGATGTATTTTCAACATATGATTTACCTTGAGATCCAAAATTAGCATGAAGAATAGGAATCACTCTGATAACCCTGTTGCAAAGACGTTCCCACATCATTACGCTTGTCAAAATAAGAAATTACATCAATGAATTTCAAATATCCGTTTTTAGTTTTCAAAAGTAAAAACTTAATTGTTTTGGTTGAAAAGAAGTTTAGGGAGGTAAAGGAGAAGGGGAGAACCTGAATGAACGAATCTGACATAAGGTTAGATGTTGTTACCAGAGACGGTAACAATGGTACTCATAGATCACAAGATTAAGAAGCAGGCACTACATTGATTTTCTAGAAAGAAAATGACAGACATTCAGTAATCAATCCAAAATCAAAAAACCCCCAAAATGTTAAATATTCATCGATAAACCAATAATCGGCACGTCACCTACACTCGACTCGATGACATTGTTAGCTTCCCGAAACTCCAACGACGCTGTTAGCTGGCCTGGACTCCGACGACTCATCTGACCTACACCACGACGACGTCAGTTGTACCGGCGACTCATCTAATCCCAAATCTGACCTTCAACCTTCGATTTCTGATCTTCAACCTCTAACTTGATCCCTATAGTTTCGAAACCCCAGAATTGACCTTTCGAGGAGGAAGAGCAGATATCGTTGTTCTGCCTGAACACGCTGATATAAAAGCGCTAGCTCTTAGGTGCGCACTTGTGAGGTCTAGAACATAAAAGCCCTAGTCCTTGTTTGATATCGGGGACAAAAAACCTTAAAACCACCAGCGTTTTGAGTGTGAGGAGTCGTAGACCCCCAATCGCCGACTCCATGACTTCAGCTCCCTGATTACAGAATGCGTATGAGTCAACGAGTAAAGAAAATGCATAACACCAGTCCCTATAGTGGCTTACAACACTGAGAAAAAGATTGGAAACATCAAAACAATCGTCGTCGCGAGGCATTTGATCACGAAAGCAAGAGCAATTATGCTATGAAGATGAAGGCCCTAGGGCTTTTTCTTGCTAATTGGAAGAGGCGGAGGGTTTTAGTTTTTGGGATCCAATAGGCGGGTGAAATCCCGCTTAAAACGCGTGTTTCATTAAAAAATTATAAAGCGACAGACTTAGATGACACCCATTTTATGAAATGCGCCCTCCGCATTACCATTTTTTTCTTTTCTGACGCTAATTTTAGGGCACGCACAAATGTGTGTCCTCTATCCTTCATATTTTGCAAAACTGACAATATTTTTTAGGGCACACACAAATGCGTGTCCTCTATCAGCGCGTGTCATTGTTTGCGCGTCATTAAAGGGCTGTTTTCTAGTAGTGAAACTACAACTCACATGTCTCCGTTTCAAGAATATAAGATATTATCGTCTCACAATCACCCGTAATAAAATCCATGAAGTGATTCACGTGAGCGTGGGTTTAATCCAATACTCAAATCTTATTTCAGGAGTACTCATGAACACTGTATCAGACTTTTGCTATGTATAAAACGCTTTAGACAATCTACAGTCAGATTCATGACAGTCTTACCTCATTACCTACTTCCAAAGTATGATTGACTGTGGATGTTTGAATAACCTAGTTATTCTGGAAGTCAAAACATACGAAGTGAAACACAAGATTAATCGAATCCAATATGGCCTCAACACTTTGAGTATAAATAAAACACCTTTTATTTAATCATCATATCGATTACACATTAATCATTGTAGGACATGGGCATAGGCATAGGCATAGGCACATGCATAAGCATAGGCATAGGCATAGGCATGGGCATGGGCATTGGCATGGGCATGGGCATAGGCATAGGCATAGGCATAGGCATAGGCATGGGCATGGGCATGGGAATACGCATGGGCTTGGGCATAGGCATAGGCATCGGCATAGGCATAGGCATAGGCATCGGCATAGGCATAGGCATAGGCATAGGCATAGGCATAGGCATAGGCATAGGCATAGGCATGGGCATGGGCAAGGGCATAGGCATAGGCATAGGCATAGGCATAGGGATAGGCATAGTCATAGGCATGGGCATGGGCAAGGGCATAAGCGTAGGCATGGGCATGGGCATGGGCATAGGCAAAGGCATATGCATAGGCATAAGCATAGGCAAAGGCATATGCATAGGCATAAGCATAGGCAAAGGCATATGCATAGGCATAAGCATAGGCAAAGGCATAAGCATTGGCATAGGCATATGCATAGGCATGGGCATGGGCATGGTCATAGGCATAGGCATAGGCATAGGCATAAGCATAAGCATATGCATAGGCATAGGCATAGGCATAGGAATCTGCATGGGCATGGGCAAAGGCATGGGCATGGGCATGGGCGTGGGCATAGGCATAGGCATACTCATTGGCATAGGCATAGGCATTTCCATGTGGACAGGCATGGGCACCGACATAGGAATGGGCATGGGCTGGGCATGGGCATAGGCATAGGCATAGGCATGGCAATATGCATGGTCATGGGAATGGGCATCAGCATGGGCATTCACATGGGCATGGTGTAACACCCATAAAATTCAAGCCAAATTAAAACTTTTTAATACATTTTAAAACCATCAAGTTATTATAGTTTGTTTTCAAAATAGTTTAGACATCAGAGTATCCCCAGAATCAATTCATAAAACCATAAAATATGAGGAGCTGTACGATCACGCCTTTGCCTTCCTGCGATCATCTGATGTACCTGAAACAATAAACTGAAACTGTAAGCCCGAGAGCTTAGTGAGTTACCCCAAAATACCAACACCATACAAACATAACCATATCATATAACCAATACAGAACAGCATGCATAATGAGTCGTCAGCCTGACAGGACCGCCTCACAGGCCTTCAGTCTATATGGACTGTTCTCCGAGCCTTCGGCACATCTGGACCGCCTCGCAGGGCCTACAGCCTATCCGGACTGCTCGTCGGGCCTTCGGTATGACTGAATCCCTTTGCAGGGCCTTCATGTTATCCGGACCGACCTGGGTATGTTGGCCTCCAGCACAAAGCAGGACTGCCTCAACCCAACCCCAAATCAAACAAGCATGTGTACATAAATATCATACACGTGCATATATATAACAGTCATACCAATCTAACAGATCACCAATCATAGCAACATCCTATAACCAGGATACCGACCTAACTAGGTCACTAACATAACATCATCCTATATACCAGGATACCGATATAACAATCATAATAGCATAACAACATCCTATCTACCAGGATACCGATCTAACAGATCATAACATCATACAAGCATACTATAACCAGGATACCGATCTAACAGATCATAATAATATGACAACACCCTAACTACCAGGTCATTAAACATATCACCATCCCAATTACCAGGATGCAAATCAATAAGCATATCATGCAATAAACTCAAATACAAATCCGATAAGGGTCGGCGTTGGTGCCTTAGACCCTGTTGATATAGTGAGGAGAACTCACCTGGCACTGCTGAAGTCCCGCGGATAAAACTCCAGCTACTGGTTGACAGCTTCCCGAACTGTCAACATCAAACAATACCCAGTTAATAATTGGGTTCCAAGCCCAAAGCCCAACTCACACTACAAAACCTAATAGTCAAGTAATGGGCCAAAGCCCAACACATGGCCCAATTTTCCAAATTAGGCATAACCCTTCACATGGGCCTTACCCCTTAGGCCCAACCATCCCTCCTGGTCTAAACACTTGGCATACTAATGGCGCAATACCTCATAACCATAAAGGCCCAGTTATGGCCGATCTATGGCCCAATTTTCCAAATTGGGCCCCAGTCCTCACATGGGCCTTATCCTAAAGCCCATCTAATTATTTTGGTCCATTAACTTGTTATTGGATAGCCCATCAATAGTCCAATCACTAAAGCTCAATAGGAAGGCCCAACTCAAGGCTTAAGTGAAAATAGGGCTTTCATATGAAATGATGATTAGGGTTAAGGGTTTCTTACTTAACCCATTAAGGACTTAATCCATTAAGTCCATTATTGCCTTAAGTTAGTTTGCCAATGATTATTATTTAATATTTCAAGTTATTAAATAATCTCGTGTGTGTCCTGATTAATTCTCAAAATTAAGGTTTTAAGCCATTAGGATTTTCCAAATCCAAATTAGGGTTTCCTACCTAATACTAGCCCATTATTCAACCGGTTGGGCTTTTAGGTCACTTTGGGCCTCATTGGGCCCATTAAGATTTTATTAGGTCAATTAGGGCTTTATTGGGCCCCATTAAGCCCACTAGAGTTTCATTAAGCCCATTAGGGTTTCAAGCATCCCAACAAATCAATACCACGATGCAAAGCACACCGCCACCCGACACGGCGGCCGGGGGTGGCAGGAGGCGGCAGCTACCACCTCACGGTGGTGGTTAGGGTTTTCTTTTCCATTATTTCACTTTCTAGTTACATGTTACAATGCTTATACCCAAAATATTCACACACACACTAAATAGACAAACATACACACAGCCACCCTATGGTGGCCGGCGGTGGTGCATGGCGGCAGCCACCACCTCACGGTGGTGGTGGTGGCCTTCTTGTGAAATCCGACCAAAAACCACAGCCAAAACCACATACACACATCCTTCTGTTGCGAGATAAACCTAGCCACCCACCTGGCGACGATGGTGACACAAGAAGTCCGGCAGCAGCGGCTTAACGGCAACGTCGGCGGCAGCAACCACGAACCCCACAGCCGCAAACGCGACCGGCTTCTCTCACGACCACAGCGTCGGTCTTCTTCTTCTACTGCCACCACGGAAATGACGACATCTGATGGCAGCGATGAAACAGTACCAGCAGCAAAAGATCGGTTAGCGGCGACGCTCGACGGCCCTAGCGACGATGGCGGCATGGCTGAAAGGCGGGGCAGGAGAAGAAAGAGAAGAAGAGGCGTCTGAGGACGCTATCACACTGACCAGATGTCGCTCCAGTCGGCTTTCTTCGTTCGCGCATGGCGTTACCGGCAGCAAAGGTGTGACGGCTTCACAATGGGGAGGCAGCAGGCGGCGGTCACAGCAGTGGTTCTTCGATTCCTCCCCGGTGCAGCTACCCTCAACAGCCCTCGGTGGTCTCTCTCGGCTACGCACAACAACCGGCGACGAATGATGGTGATGATCTGATGGCAAGACGACAAGCGACGAGGTGGCGGCCAAGAAAGAGGATGGAGATGGCGGCTGGTGCTTAGAGGCTTAGGGTCAGGGTATAGACGGGAATGAAAAGCTATATACCCGGCTCCATTAATCTTTGGCCCATAATGACACAAATGGTCCCCCATTCTCATCTTTTCTTTCAAAACTAATCCATAATTTACGATTTCAACCCTTAGCCTTAAAATCCATTACACATTAAGTACAAAATTTACCAAATAGCCCATATGCCTCCAAAATCTTTTCAAGTGAAGTCCCAATATTTACCCCTTAGTCACTGCCTTCATAAATATTTGCAAAACTAACCCGGGACTTACATTTTAACCCTTGCCTTCTATAAATCTTTACAAAATAAATCCCAGAATTACACCTTGATCCCCGGAGATTCAAATCCTGCCACTTGGCTTCCCGAAATAAACTCCCAGCTAATTGTTATTTGATTTTGGGCCATAATGACATATAATAATAATACAATTTGCTTCTCGGGTTCCAGGTTATCATTTAATTATTATATTGTAAATGGGATGTTACAATTATCCCCCACTTAAATCTGATTTCGTCCTCGAAATCGTTTCTTATCATTCCTTACAAGCGAAACAACTTGAACTACTTGGCTACAACCCCGAGCGAAACTCTAGCCTCTCCAAGGCAACCATGTCTAACCCTCGTAGGGTTCTAAAACCAGTAAAATGAACGAATCCATTACAATATGACCACATTTATCCAATCCGAAATCTGGAGCCTCGAGATGGTCTGGCTTCCTGTCAGACCGCCCACACTGGATCATTGTCGAGTT